GTGGAAGATGCTATGTTATAATTGCAGAGGGATGGAAACGTAAGTAAGAGACAGAATGAATTGATGGAAAATTATATTGGACACCAAAATGCATGTGAAAATTTAAAAATTCCTTTCAACATTGTCACAAAAACATCTCCTCCATCAGAAATTTACAACAACGGCAGCAAGAAGAAAGGGAAAACAATCATAATTTTGCAGTTTGAACAACGATTCAGAAATATGTTGTTAAACAAATACACTGCACTATTTCAGCCCGATACAACATGGCTAATTTTCACAATCTCTCTCTATAAAAATATATATATTTGACTTTTCACCTGACGTTAATACTCGCAAAGTAAAGACGTAAAAAATAAGCGATCTAGGTCTGGAACAACATTTTTTTCTTTACGGTGTCCAACATTCAATTATCATATTTCATGTCATATTTACAACAACGTATAATGTCTGTGTATAAAGATGAGAATTCACGACTATTATTGACCAAACAAATGTTGTATGACAAAGACGCACCTTGGTTTTTATCCACTTTTCCTTTGTCCAGCACACACCTCTAACGTCCAAGGAGTACGTGGATCATTCGACGCTAGTTGCTAATCAGAATAAAAATGGCTGATTGTTTTTGACATTTTTTACCTCAGTTGGCAAGCATTTTACCTGGTAGTGGTAATTAAATTACGCTGGTCACCTGGTATGAATTTGACGATCTCAAGAGCAACGCACTGCGACCAGCGGCAAATCATTCAAAATAGTATGGGATTGATAAAACTATTTTTAAACCGTCGGATTTCATACATCTTCCGGCCATTGTTTTCATCTTGCTGATGGACAAAGAGATTTTAGTATTCACAATTTTTCCATACATCGATTCACTGGTCAAACACAAAGCATTCAGTCGAGGTTGCAAGGTTCAAATTTGAATAATCCTTTGAAAGTACCTTGGCGCCTCGCTTGGGCGCTTTGTGTTTGACCAATCAACCAATGGAAAATGGTGAATAGTTTCTAATATTACGGAGGGACGGCAATACAATTTCTGTCACGCCTCAAATTCTTTAGTCATGTTTTGGTTGGTGTCGCAAATTAAAAAATAAGGTGGTTTTGTAGACACCTGCCATTTATCAAATGTCAAATGTCTTACGTGCAACTAAACAAAATAACACATCAAAATAGAACCTGTTGCTCCTTATTCCTCCTTGCTTTAATTGAATTTGCTAAAACTGCATGCCTTCATCCTCCTTTCTAATTTGTTACTATATATACCAAGCTAAAAAGACACCTCAATAGTATAAGCCTGTGGTTTCTTCTTGAGGTGCCTGCCACCCTGAGTTTACTATTCGATTTGTTACTATAGCTGAATGTTTGTAAATACAATAATAACAATAGTGACAACAATGATTGTTTCAATAATCTTGCTGATACTGTATTGTAAAAATTCATGCTATTTTGTTATATATGTATAATTGTATAAAAATTATTGTTTTGTAAACCTTTATTGTAAAAAAATGTAGAACTGTAATGTAAACTCTGGGTGGTGTGAAATATGACTAAATGAAATGAACAAAAAAAACGGCATTGGTTTTCCCTTCAATGAAGAAACCCGGACTCGACTTTCTTTTAAACATTAAAAGTGCTAAATATGTTAAGAGGAATTTTTTTTCAAATAACGAGCAATAATGGCAAAAAGCGCCAAAAACTAGACCTTCGTATGAGTTTTGATCCCAATTTTTGTTTTGGGTTAACACTCAAAACCTTTTTTAAACAGTTAGAAACTAATGTACCATGATAAAATGCTTGTTTGAAGCGGTATTTTCAATTGTACAAAGATGTTTTGTTGCATTTGTGTTAGAATGTAGCTTTCTCAGGCTTTTTTATAGAAAATGTATGGGAAATAAGCAAATGAAGGCCTATACCTCGTTTTCGATTCAAATTTTTGCTTTGGGTTAACATTTTGATTTCATTTTCACCGGTCATCTCCACTTCCAAACAAGTTAAACTTTCTGAATGACAAGATTTTAGTCTTGTACAACAGCCTTTCTTCAAGAAAATAGTTTTTGGCGCTCACCGCTTGAATACGAAAATAATTCTCCCTTAAAGTGTTACGGGTTTATAAAAATCACTCTAGTGACTTCACGCTTATCATGATGCTTCTGTCACCGTAACTTTGGATGTGAAGCTTTTTTGTTTGTTTGAAATAATCGACTGTCGATCAGAAAATCGAGCGCGCTTTAACTTTTTCAAGATTCGTTTAAGGACGGTATTCAGTTATATTTTAAATCTTTTTCGCATTTTTTTTTTTTTTACTAGTTATTTACGTCCACACAAAGCCATGCATTTTTATCTAAAAACCAACCAAACTCTGACTGTTAGGTTTGGGAAAGAGAGCAATATGCATAGATGCACTTTAAAATTACTCAAATCATCAGCTTATAATTATAAGAAATACATTTTATTCTTTGTTTACTAAGCTTAAATAGATATTGTTAAATGCAKGATATAAAACTGATAACAAGAAGAGTTTTAACTTCTAAACTCAATCTGACATCATTACAAATAATTCATAGTGTTCACGAAGGACTGGACTGTTCTTGATTGGTCATGGTATGATCGAGGGCCAGAAAGGAAAGTGAACATAATGCACAACTTCAACAATACAAACACTTTGCAACAATAATAACAATATTCTACAGAAAACGAAAGATAACACTGAGCAATAGAGAGCACGAAACTGGAGTGTTGGCCAAAAGTAGGGTCAAGAATACTTTTTCGAGGCGTGAGTATGCCACTAGAGTTTTCCCTAAAATTATTAGTAATTTATTATTGTTATCATTATAATTAGAATTATCATTTGTACAAATGGGGCCGGGGAATGGTTTGAGAAAAGTTAGAAGGCTATCATTTTCTCACCAATCCCCCCTCCCATAAAAAACGAACTACTAAACTACAAAACTAGTGAACATTTCTGTTCACATTCAATGCATAACGCTGTTTTTGAAGACTACAGACTCATTTGCATAGGCTTAGCCTCGTTTGTAAGTCAACTATTTATAGATACCATTAAAAGTCCGTGGGATTTCAAAACATTGGTACTGTTCAAGCTGCACATTCTTTACATTAATGTTGATATTTGCAAATAATTTACTCTTAAGCTAGGTTATGAAATGAGTCTTCAGTCTTAAAATATAGCGGTATTTACGGAATGAGAAAAGGCACTATTGCATTCTATACAGGAATCTTCATTGTTTTCTTGCAGAACTGAACGTTGCTTAAGGGTCCTTAGTCGCACCCATATATTTCTACTCTCATGCAAGGCCAGTTGGAAGTGATAGGGAAAAACTTGATGTACCGAGCTGTTACTCCTCTTGGAAGTCGGTTAACAACAGGAGTAAAGTGGTCACAGTTACCAGTAAATGTCTGAAAGAAAATTAACTGACGTGAGTTATAACGAATATTAGTTTAATAAATGGAGATCTATTAATAGCATATCAACAGAGTGGCTCTTCCTTTGGTGGACTCTAAAAGGAGTTTAAAAACCTTCGAAGCACAGAAGAGAACCAACAAACAACTCTACTCACATACGATTACATGTGAGTAGAGCTCGTTAGTTTTCCTCCTTGATTCGCGGAGAAATTTTCTTTGGCTTCTTGGGATATTTTAAATTCTTCATCCGGAAAACCTAACACACTCAAGATTCACAAATACAATCTGTAAACTATCCTTGACGTGATTTTGATCTGCCCAGAAACTATTCCATAGTATGGATAAAATTCGAAAGGGAAAGTTAATAGAATAGTTATTCGGTTTGCGACAGTAACTTTCACAGTTTTCTGTGCCATCTTGAAAAGTAACCGTGCCTTTGCATCGAAGCGACACGAACGGTGAGCTTGCAATGATAAAGACATGTGAATAATTGCAATGCAAGCTCACCGATCGTGTCGCTTCGATGAAAAGGTACGCCTACCTTTCAAGATGGCGCAAGGAACTGTGAAAGGGACTATTTTGCCAATAAGATAAATGATTGGGTATGAACGGCAGTACTTGTCACTACCTGAAGCTGGTCATGAGATTCATTCAGTTGATTAAGGACTCTCAAACTACAGGGCAGAATCGACTAACGACTCTTCTCACGTATGAAGGCGAGTTCAGAGGTTGAGCCCACGACCACATCGGTGAGCGGTAGCGAATGAGCAACTAAAACTACTGAACTATGTAAGCTGGTTTCCATCCAATATCGAGAATCTAATTTATGGAAAACATGGCGTTTTGCTTACCACAGTTTCCCCTGATTTGGACTTGACGTATTCCCACGAGGTTCCATCGACACTATACGCAAGCTGATAAGACTTCACGTGCTCAAAATATATGTCTCGACCTAACATTTAAAAGAAATATAATTAGTTACCAGTGATGTTTACTACTGATGGACTGCAAGCATTCCCAAGAGATTCAGAAGACAAAAAAGGAAGCCACCTTTGTGCAGTTAACGATGAATTCTAATGAGAAACATTTTGTTCCATGGCAACAAAGTGGGCGCGATGACGTAACGTGCAATCAAATAATATTATTTCTCAAGCTTTAAAAACTACCTTGTGTTGCGACTGCTGTGACGTATTTCTTCTTGCCCAAGTCCACTTGCAGCCATTGGTTCTTTCTGGCCGCTGCACACCAGGCTCCAACTCGTTTGGTGTTAAAATCGTCCAAGTGGTACAGTCTGGCATTGCGAGCCCCAGCATCCCAAGATCCTATGGTTTTATAAAGCATATATAATAAACATCTTTTAAAAACAAGAAAACTTCTTGTTTGTTCCATCGTTAGTTTGTTTGTTTGTTGGACGCTTTTTCCTTCTTTTTTTTTTTTTTTTTTTTTTTTTTTTTTTTTTTTGACCAGAAATGTAAGGAAAAGGGAAAGGAAAGCATTTTCATCTCATTTAATTCCCGCCCTCTTCCCTTATTCTTCTCCAAACCTATTTGTTGCAGAACACTTGAAATCAGTGTAAAACAGTTGTAGTCAGCTGAGCATCTACCCAAATCCGCTGGAATACACAAGCACTACAGGAAACCCAACCGAAGATACAAGCTATGTTTGCAGCCTTACCAAGGTTAAGTTCAGAAGATGAAGTGAAGGCTGTGTCTGGTAATCGCTTGTCCCATCCTAAGCCAATAGGATTAGAACACGGTGCTGGGGAAAAATATAAAACAATTTGTCAATTAATATTGCTACTGTTTACTTCAATACAAACCACTGTTTCATCTAGAGTTTTTTTACCTCAGCTTTCTCTCTATCTGCTTAGTCCATTAGTAAAGTCAAAAAGACTATTTAGCTTCTTGGCGTAAAGTTTTCCCATTTCAGACATTCCATTCCCTAGAGTATTATTACTTTGTTTAACGGATGCACATGAGAAGACAGACATGAATATGGATACAACTCAAACGAAGAATCTTATTCTCAAAAAAAAAAAAAAAAAAAAAAAAAACACGGTGTCTGAAATGGGAAAAACATCACGCATAAGGTAAAAAAGGTATTTTAACAGTTTTAGCGACTGTAAATACCTCTCGGCCTGACGGATATAAGATCACATTGTTTTGATTTACAGCTCGTCAAACAATGTCTCTTTACATAGCTATCGGTTGTACATCTGCCTTGTGAAGCCCAAGTAGGGCACGATGAATCCTTGTCTTCACATCTTATACCTAGAATGTCAAAATCAGAATTTTACAAAGTACAATTATGATGCCAAAAATCGAAATAGCTAACAACATTATAGGCTTATTTAACAGCAAACTCATGATACAAAGGCGAGATTTTTTTTTATACATACGTACCAATAGGATTAGGTGGGATGGTAGAGCTGACAGGCTTGGGTGGTGTGGTAGGTATTGGTGGTGTTGGAGGTAGAGGTACTTGTGTAGATTTTGTGGTTGCTGTTGCTGTTGAGGGTTGAGGTGGATGTGTTGACGTTTTTGATTGAGTTGTTGGATCAGTAGTCGGCTTGGTTGGGGGTACTGTTGGTTTTAATGGATGAAAAAAAAAACCAATACAATTTGAGTAACAAAATCGTAATATACAGTCAATGTCATTTACGTTATCCACCGAAAAAAGACATTTACACATTTGAACATTTAGACTAAAAGAAATATCACGTGTTTCCTCGAACGTTCTGTCATAAAACAAACGCTGAAATACAATTCTCCATCTTAAATCCTCACTAAATGGTCGGGGCGTTCTGGATTTTCGATTCACGAGTTGAATTTTACATTTAAAGTTCAGGCTCACTTTAGCCTAAATGTCTAAATGTGTAAATGTCTAAATGTGTAAATGTCTAAATGTCTTTTTTCGGTGGACAACGTTAATGACATTGACTGTATGAATATTTAACAACAATAACGAATAGGAAGGTGAAAGACAAGGGTTGGGCAAAACGATAAAACATTCTACGAATCAGATTAGTTCATCGAACGGAATCCAGCGGAAATCATGTGAAAGTAGTTTCCTCTCACACTAGCAAATTTATTGCACCACTCGAGCGCCACAAATTCAAACATTCTCGAAAGTTAGTAAAACTCGCTGCGAATGGGGCTGCGGTAAAATCACCATTGAAATCACCGCTCAATTGGCGCGATATTTTTTAGTGTAAACAAGCCTTAAGAAACACAATTAAGTTTTATAGAGTTGATTTAATTTTTTTTCTAAATGAAACGCTGTATTTTATATCGATTGTTATCCTAACCATACACAAGACATTCGTTGAGGTGCACGCGGGTCATCCGGTATAGAATAATCAATAAATAAAGAATTAAGAAATAAAGAAAAAAYATATTTAAAGACTCGAATTTCAAGGAGAAAGTGGTATTACCTTTGCAGCCATACAGCTCAGCTCGCATGCAGATAGCACCCTTCCAAGTCTTTGGGTTGATGCGGATATACCGTGCTATGATTGGTGGGTTAAGAGAGTTCTTTGTTACCGTTGACATGTCAATATTACCTGTGAAAATCTACGAGGAAAGTAATACGTTACCTATAAGTATAATTACTAATAATAATTAGGTTTAATATGATACTGRTAAATAACACTAATCCTTACTGTTGGATGATTCGCCCACACGTTGCCATCTTCACTATACTGTACGGCATAACTCTTGATAAACTTTGGGTACTTGCTCTCACGACCTATTAATAAACGTCAATGAATATTTACTTATAATACACTCCACAAAATTACTCGATTCTGATTGGACAAAAGGAGTGCGATGAAATCCCAAATTGTACTCTATAGAGTACCAGTTAAATTCCACAATTGTGTTGAGTGTATTATAAACAAAAAATCGCACAATCTTCTCGTACAATTCAGAATTTATAGATACTCGTGATGTTTTGAAAGTTCTCAAATTGAGCTTGCTCGTCCAAATTTGAAAAATTTCCAAAACATCACTCGTACCTATAAATTTTGACTAAATTGTATTAGAGATTGTGCGATTTCCTATGCAAACAAAGTATCAACGTATTGTCTTTTGAGAAATCTGTTTTACGAATAAGGCTTGTTTAAAAGGCATCATCAATTACAGAAAAAAAGACGTTATAAAAACAACTTATAATCTAAAAGGTGACGGTTACATCCTCACACTCTCTACATTTAATCTACAGTGCTAAAAATACCTAAAGGTTTTGAAGTCCAGCTTCTAGAAAGATTTATATTTATGAGATCATTTCATTGATTTAGTTAAATAACCAGGACCATACTTCCAGACATCGAATGCTGAACCGTCGTATGGCAGCGCGAAGCATTTACGGCTACGCCGGAGATTTCGGCCCCGACACCGCTATCCCTGGATTTACAAACTGATCAGGAAGCTCGGCCGAAGCCTAAGGGAGAGGTTAGTCGGCCCCTAGACCGTAGATGATTAACCCCTTGCTATGACCAGCAGACCCAATTATGTCATCTGTGGCTAAAGGTTAAGAACCTATGATCAGTGCGTTTCCATGTGGGATGCTTTTAAAAAACTAGAAAATACTTGAGTTTATAAGCAAACGTTAGGTAAATGGAAACCATTTAAATCAAATTGGGAGAAAGCGTTTTTGTTGTTGTTGTTGTTGTTGTTGTTGTTGTTTTGACGCTTTGTTTACGCGTGCGCATAAGAAGTGGAAACGATAGAAATCAAGTTCAAACTCTTTCGTTGTTGAAGATTTGTATCTGCGCTCTATTCATTAATGTTTTACTATAATATTAATTAATATTATTAATTAATTTCGCGTTTTACAAATATGATCAGTATTTAAATATGTAAATCATAAAAAATATCGAGCGAACGAGAGCCGTTTTTCAGAAAGGAAATAACTGGATAGAGCGAATTGATTTGAAGAAAAACTCAACAAAAAAAGACAAAAAAAATCAGTCCTTACATGCGCTTTGATTGATTGGAATGCCATTCAAAAATGATGAGAGAATTTAAAATGCTCACGTCATGTTTGCACTGTCATCACAAAAAGAATAACGTTGTTGTTTCCTATGCTGCTTTTCTCTCAGTGCATGGCGCGCGTTTAGGTCAGAGCAACAAACTAAGATCTTTTTTCATTTTTCTTAAAATTCATACCTTGTGTAGCAATGTGAGTGATAATCGTCCTAACGCCAAGGTCTACTTCCAGATATTGGTTGGTAGTGAGGTCACGTGAACACCATGCTCCTACACCTGTTACACCAGGTTTCAGATTCAGACGTGCTTCTCTTGCACTGTGCCATCTACGAAAGGTAAATATGAATGTTAATGCCAACCCGGTATGACTTGAATAAATCAGCCAACAATATTGTTTTAGGGTTCGATCTTTGAGTCATAGCCATGCCCCGACTTAGATCAGCCCAGARGTTGTTTCAGGGTTTGATTTTTGAGTTAGCCATGCCCTGACTTACATCAGCCCAGAGGTTGTTTCAGGGTTTGATCTGTGAGTTAGCCGTGCCCTGACTTAGACCAGCCTAGTGGATGTTTCAGAGTGCCAATAAAATTGTTGCAGATTTTCTTCTAATTTTGAAAGATGAAGAGGATGCATTATCAATAAGTCCCTTACCTATTATACTGCGATGAAGCCGACAAGTCGCTGTCAGGAATGCGTTTGTTTTCCATACCTAATGCTTTTGGTGACGAGCATTTTGGTGGTTCGGGTGGAGGCGGTGGAGTCGGTGGGGTGGGTATCTTAGAGGGTTTTGGTGGGGTATTAGGAGGAGGTGTGTCAGGAGGAGGTGTGTCAGGAGGAGGTGGTGTAACTGGTGTTTGAGTTGGCGGAGTATGTGGCGGTGGTGGAGTGACATCGGGGGTCGGTGGTCGAGGCGAATCTGTAGGTGTGTTACCGATATATCTACGAATCCAACTAACAAATTCACTGACTCTTGCGTAGACTGTGTATTCGCTACGACCTGCACTACAAGTTCTTGTTCCCCAGCTGACAGCTCCTTGTAACACCCAACGTTTGTTCTTGCCTTGGCAAACGAAAGGACCGCCAGAATCACCGAAGCACCCACTAACGGTACTGCTTCCACCAAAACCAGAACAAAGCTGAGAGAAAAAAAATACGTAACATTGTTAATGATTTTAGAAAAGGATGGTTTCAACTTTGAGCAATTTTCCAATCCAAATCCTCGTTTCAATGCCTTCAGTATTATATTTTTCTTCAACGGTAACATTTGAGAAGTTTCTTAATATGCATGGCAGGTAGACAAAATATATTATTTCCAAGATGTTATATATGGGAAAACACTGCGCCCAACCGTGACATAATCAATGTCAAGTCATACAATATAAGTGTGTCTACAAGGGAATGTACACTTTGAGTACATTAATATACACGAAAACAGGGCATTGACGAAAGGATAGAACAGGTGGACAGTTACGCCTTTTAGCGGTTGAAAGGTATCAATTGAAATGGCTTTCAAAAGTAAAATGGATTGTCCTTTATTTTCTTTATCTACATTTAGAAATCAATGTAGGCTCGAAACTACACCAATCGCTTTTAATCGTCTCTAAATCATCTCATGCACTTAGTTGTTTTGCGGTGTTACTCTATGTGTGTGTGTTTTTTTAGATATCTCTTTACTTATCCAATGTTACACCAAGGGACGGGGCTACGATATCCATTGAACTAATCAGCACGCAAACTGGTAATTCAATCAAGAACGCCGTACCGTCACGTCAACGATGCGTCACATTAATTGAACATAGCTTGCAGATTTACTAGTCATGCAATCAGAATATTCTTCCTAGGTGCCACTGAGGTAATGAATTCCTAGGAAATTGGGCATATTAGGTATTTACCATTTTACTTGTTACACGACCCCAGCTTCTCATACTGTTTGCGCATGTCCTTTGGTTGGCCGTAGGCATCATGGCTTCTTGGAGAACAGAAGCACCTGGTCTGTTGTACCCAGTCCTTCCCCATCCTTTCGAGAGTCAAGAATTAGATAACATGAAAATATAAGATTTTTTACACGAATGCATGCATCTTGGGTGGAACAATGCTGCTCACAAAAAAAGATATCAAATAACGGTAGAACTTAATAGAGGCATCACTTGACGGCAGCCATGACAGGAGACAGGAACAATTGAATTTGGTCTAATCTGATTTACATAAGACAGAATTTAGTTTCACAGGGGAAAAAGACTGCACTGTTGTGCTTCTTGGCATGGCTGCCAAAACAAAACAAAACAAAAAACACACACCGAAGACGCGAAAACCCTTTGCAGTGATCTTTCTCAAAGGCCCACACCAAAACTGTCTCCGGGTTGAGATTGGCCCTGATGTGTTTATAAATGGACTTGTATAGACCATTTTTAATCATTTCCTACAGGAAATGTTCTGGGAGACAAAACAATATGCCGTCGTACTTATGCAAGAAATCTTTTGTGTTGTCGCCCAGAACAATTCCTGTAGGAAATCAACGCAAGGGGTCTATACAGCAATTTCAAGGAAAAGGCTGGTGAATGTTTTGTTGCATCTTGAATGTTRCACGTTGCATTGTGCATGCTGTATGGTGTTTACCAAACTTGGCATGTACTATGCCCAAATGTAAATAGTGTCAACAAATAAACTATATACGGGGAAAACATACAAGAAAAAAAAAAAAGACAAAAATTCCACATCGTTGAGGCGTTTCTCTGATCGTGACATTTCTCAATGAAACAAAATTGATGCAATAGCAAAACTTCGTACCTGAGATGTAGCAGTTTTTACCGTCTGGTACATTTACACCCTGGGATGGAAGACAAATCAAGTTGACGGCTTTGTTTAGTCTTGCTGGTCGGTCGAGCTTAAGGAGAGCTAGAAACCAAACACATTACATTACGTTAGGAATTGTTCATCGATGATATCGGCAGGAATGCCAGTTATAGATTGGTTCTATTTTGCCAAACTAAAGTTAGATTTAATAAAAATAACTCCAACAAAATTAAAGTACAAAAAACCTAAACGAAGTCTCTGTTGAACCAAGCTAGCTTCTTTCATTCCAATAAACATGTGAGACCTTGCTTTTAAAGAAATGATCATTCCGTATTGCGAGTGATAAATTCGGTAGCAGTGAGAGTTTCTCTCTCCTATACTTTGAAGGTTCTTGGTTCGGACTCTCCAACTTTCCCCCATCCACAAAAATAAATCTCTAAATTCCAATTGGAATTTAAAAAATTCAAAAAATTTAAACCAGGTTTATCTACGAGGCCTTCCTCTTTGTGCAAAATTTCTAAATAATAAATACAAATGAACACGCGTATTCCTTCTTACCAACGTCATTGTTAGCTGTTATTCTGCGATATCCTGGATGTACAATTATTCTTGATACAGTAAATTCTTGTTCGGTCCTGTCTCTTCTACCAAGATGGTGCTCACCTGTGTAGAAAAAATAATCAAATATTTGTCTCTCATTTCACGAAAATATTTCATATGTAAAATTAAATGTTGAGAATGTGTTTCCCAATTCCATCATTCCGTGGTTTAACGATTACTTATTCGTTTGTGTTGGTGTTGCTAATGTTTATATTTACTCATTAGGATGCAATTGCTCATAAATATGGTTTTCAAATGTGTCCTGAATTTAACATATATAAATATATATGTAAATAAATWAATTAATTAATTAACTTTGTTTATAGAGGATAACACTTGACAGTAATTCAACTGATAAACTCGTGGTCCTCTTTTAACGTCTCTAGTTAATTAGGGACGGGACCGCCATTAACGTGATCATCCGAGCCACGTGAAGGTCTAACATTTGTAGATGTAATTACAAAGGCAGCACCTTCTCCTCAGTTATTTTAAGACCCTGAGTGTTGGTCCGGCCGAGGCTTGAACCACGACCTCCCGCACAGCAGACCGACGCTCTTACCAACTGAGCTAACCGGGTGGCGGTTAAACTTAAAAAACTTAACAAAACTTAAATCAACTTTACCTATAAATATAACACACATTCAGATGTGGTCCATTAGACCATTTTCCAATTAGTCAAAAACCGCTGTGTTCCTTGAACAAAGACTCGTTTATACAGGGTTAGCCTCATTTCAGTTTCCAAAATTCACAAATACCAACGATAAAGTAAAGAATGCACAACTTCAACAATGCGAGCACTTTGAATTTACACGAACATTTATTGGAATGCATGAATATTCAAAGTCCCCCTGAGAATTCTAAACTGTAGCAATTGTATGACTGAAATTCCTCCGTGATATAATTATAAGTAACAATGAAAAAACCGCTAAGTTGATTAATCTAACAAGAGAAAATAATAAGGAATGACTTATTATCGTCAAGCAACATGGTGGCTATGACGTAAAATGCACCCCAAGACATGAGCGGTTACATAGCGGGAAAAATTATCAATAGATATTTGTTTATTTAATTTCAACAAGAAGCTGCAATGTGTGTTGTTTTTTTTTTTTTTTTGTTTTTTTTGAAATACTTGCAAAACTGAACGTACCAAGTCTCACACGGTACCCATAGTTAGTAGAGCTGCCTTTGACACAGTGCGCTGCCGTCAACACCCATTGTGGGGCAACCAGTGAACCTCCACAAAAATGGCGGCCAGAACGTGATCTGAGCTGAGCTTGCCAAGGCCAACTGTTCTTAGCTGCTGTCTGTCCGTCCACTATCCTGCCGGGGGCTCTTCCATAGTAACGAAGACCACATCGGGGACCTGCTATAATACAATTAAAGGTAATAAATTTTCTAAATAATCCTACGTCATTTCTTTTAGCCTTTATCAAAATGAGCAACGGACTGGGTCCAAGTTTGAAAAACCAATTCAGTAGCTGTTTCGGAAAACATAAAAACGTCACAAGAAAGAACAACATAAAATAAGCTTGTTGACCACGTTTCAGGATGTTTTGCTTCATAGAAACAACGCTATAAGCATTCAAACCCTGCAAAAATTCCAAAGAAATCTATGGTGTCCAGCCAAACCGTCGAGCCACGCATATATTTTCCGTATTTTTTACTAATGTTTAAAATATCATAATTTTGTTAAAACTTGCCCCAACTCGAACACTTTTTCAATTTATGCTTATATGATCTTTCTTGTGGCAAAATGCTGCTTAATTTTGAATTAAAATAAATTTAAGAAACTTGGTTCCAGTCCTTTACTCCGTTAGGCTATATTGAAAAACAACGAAGGATGAATGAGGGGAGATGCGAATCATGTCTGCCATCATGCTCTGCTAGATCCTAGACAGTAAGACTTACCTGTAGGCTTTTGGGTTGGGGGTCTCGGTGGAGTGGGAGGCCTGGGAGGAGTTGATGGCCTAGGAGGACGAGTTGGTGGCCTGGGACGGCGAGTTGGTGGCCTGGGACGGCGGGTTGGTGGCCGGGGACGGCGAGTTGGTGGCCTGGGACGAGTAATACAGACACCGCAGCTCATCTTGCAATATACACGCATGTATCGTGGGTTTGCTCTACATTGTCCGGTAGAAGCCCAATATCTACAGGATGTATGGTCATCTCTACACGTGCCATGAACTATATCAAAGAAAAAGGATAAAATCTTATATTTTATCTCGGCTATAATATTTAGTAAAACAAACCTATGCTTTTACACAAAAAAGAAAAAAACAAATGAGACTTTTAAAACCAGACAATCAGTTTGAAGGATAAAAGCCAGAGAAGTGAAGTCGAAGAAGGGAAATGGAAGGGAATTATTTCCCTTCTCGGACTAACTTTCTGGCTTTCATGAGTGAGGCCTTGTGTCGGTATTCGTTCGTAAATCCCGATTAGTTAATAATCGCGCGATCGCAGCGCTGGTCAGCGGCCGACGAGAAAATTATTTAAAAAATTATTATTGTTATTATCATTATTATTATTATTATTATTATTATTATTGTTCTTATTACACGGTCATAGGTTTCGTTTTAGATTAATATATATATATATATTTGTTTAAGAAGAAAAAGTCAAGACAACATTTTTCCCGACAAGCCTGTTTCGTGAATTGCTTCACTCTTCAGGGGATTTAAATAAATTCTGTTCACGTGAAAATCACTTCGAATCATGTGAGAATTACTGTCTGATCATGTGAGAATCATTTCTAATCCCGTGAGAATCACTTCTGATCACTTGATTGTGCACGGTAATTGACTAACCCGTAGTTCTGCACCATCCACAGCTAGCTCGACAGTATCTTGACATATAATTCCTATTAGCAAGACATTGTCTCTGCCTTGCCCATCTCCGACAATTTAAATTGTAATCCCTGCACACCGCTGAATGAAAAAGAAAAAATAAGTAATGATAAAAGGGTAAATTTTACACCGTGAAAAGATGAAGCGTCCCCCGTAACCATACGTCTTTGTAATTTTTGAGAAGTTTGGGAGGTTGCTACAAAAAAGGTATGAAACCCAAATCTTAAAACTCAAGAAATTTACTAATTTCGATGTACTCTTTCTTGTTATGGTGCTTATTTTTTAACTAGGCTAATTTTTAAAATTCGTTCCAAGTTCTCGACTCGCTTCTAAAGTGGGCAATTATTTGCCGTGCTTGCATCTCCTGAGAATAAAAGGTCAACGAGCTACTACACCCCCACACCACCACTCCTACCCCCTCACCCACCCTCCCCCGCCCATCAAAGTGAAAAGAACACAAGTAAATAAAAAAAAAAAACAAATCAATTAAGAGAATGCTTTACCTCGTTTTTGTCGTAATTTGAACACGTTCTTTTCTTCCACTTCTCTTTTACCTCGTTTTAAAGGTTCTACAAAATAAATATTAAGTTGTGATCAAAATCTAGAGATTCAGAAAATCTTGACCGCTTCGTGGGTGTTCCATACTAATGCACCCTAGATCTTTCCCCGATGTGGATCTTCGGCATCACATACGAGGAAAGGCATTTTTAGGGTTTTACTGCTTCCTTCCTTCGAAAAGCCTTAGATCAGCCCAGAGGTTGTTTCAGCTAGGGTTCGATCTGTGAGTTAGCCATGCCCTGACTTACTTCAGCCCAGAGGTTGTTTCAGGGTTCTATCGGCGAGATAGCCGTGCCCTGATTTAGATCAGCCCAGAGGTTGTTCCAGGATTCGATCTGTGAGATAGCCGTGCCCTGACTTAGATCAGCCCAGAGGTTGTTCCAGGATTCGATCTGAAATATAGCCGTGCCCTGACTTAGATCAGCCCAGAGGTTGTTTTGGTTCGATTACTCTATAATTTTCTTAATTTTTTTAAAATTTACTTTACCTGGTGCTGTTGCCCTGCAATAGCCGTACATCATATTTGCTTGTTTTGCATCGAGGGTGCTAAGATGCTGGTAAGGTTTCTTTCCGTTAAGAGGTCTGAGTGCTTTAAGAGTTGGTTTTCCGTTTCTGGAAAATGCGGTAAACGGATAGTGCATAATCGATTCATAATCGTAAGGGATATTCAACGAATTGATTTTCTCTCGGGAATATTTCGCGAAAGCACTTTCAAAACCTGCATGGCAAATTACAAAAAAAAAGTGTTAATATTGCGTTACATAAAAAATTTCGCTACTACGATTGATCCCTCAGTTAAAAACCAACCACGTCCTATCTATGTTGTTTGATTTTGGGTTTGAATTTCGATGGAAAACAGCATTCAGCAATCGGCAATTATTTATTATTTATTTATTTGAAAATTTGCCAAAGGCAGGTAATTTAAGTAAGTCCCCTACATGGTAAATCACCCAAAGTTTGCACGTTTTTCCTGCATTTTTTCTCTGTTCTTACATTATCGACATATTATCTACAATACATTTCAAGCTTTGTTCGCAACATGGTATGCAACACGCATCAAAACCTTCGCCAACCTTTTTTGAAAATAATTGTATAGAGTGTTGCGTGACTAACAACAGCTGCGTTACTATGATTCACAGTATTTACCTTGCAAAATATTTTCTTGGACAACTTTTACATAGCTGTCACGGTCGGGCCTGCTTTGTTCGTGCCAAAATCCCACTGCGTGACCAATCTCGTGTACCATCACATGTTTGAATTCACATAAATTTCCAACCGAAAGAGAGGTCCTACCACCGATGCGTCCGACATTACACCAACATCTGTATTAAGAAACAGATGTGTTACAAGTTACAAGGGCAGAATTAGCTTTGGAAAGAGACCTCTGGAGCTTCGGCGTAAAGTTTTCCAATTTCAGACCACGTGTCATTCACTTTAGAATAAGATACTTTGTTTAATTGTATCCATATTCAGGTGTCTTCTCATGTGCAACCATTTAAAGTGCTACTACGACGAAAATCGCTCAAACTTGGATTCAGCTGAAACTTCCTAAAAATACTCTTTAAAGGTCCAATAATCACTGTATGAAGTGTTTTCTCGATATTCAGGACGAAAGTATGATATTTTTACGATTATTTTTTGGAGTCTGTGACGTCATACACAACATCAAACATGACATATGGTTTGAACTTAATAACACCATTTAATTAGCTCGTCTATAGACTCCTTGCAGTAAGTCGGAATGCTGCTCAATTTGGAGGACATAACAATAGATTTCCAATTCTCATGAGATTGAAATCCTGTCTTTTCGCTCTCCAAATTAAGTGGCTCTGACGTCACTTCTACAGTTCGAATTAAAACGAAGGAAGATTAATATAGATCTCTTGCATGTGACGTCAAAGCAGCTCTATCTGGAGTAAAAATCAAAAGAATTCCAATCTCCTGAGAATTGGAACCTATTATTTTGTCCCCCAGATGGAACTGCATTTCAAGGTGCTGCAAGGGGTCTATTGACTAGTGTCATCATTCAACGAACTTTTTTAAATTTTCAAAGATCAATAAAAAAAGGAAAGGATAACAAAACTATTCATTAACTAGAAAGTTAATATATAAAATTATTTATCATAAACTTATATTTACCCTTTTTGTCTGAAGAACCACAAATAGTCCTTTTGGTTGGTCCTTGGTACAAATCGTAAACAGGTTTTGCTTTCCCATTCTTTCATCGCTTTTTTAATTGCATCTTTAGCGTTAGACATTTTTTCTGGAATCAAATTTATAACATGATTTTAGTTGAGAACAGTAGTGGGGTTACCTCGTGTTTATCGCTAACTGCTAACCTGTAAGCGCTAGGAATCAGGCCTCGAAAAACGCCCGCAAACACCGAGAAACACTCTCGGCATCAATGAAATTCAATAGGGCCACTCTTCCATCGACAACTTCGGATTGAAAAATTCCTTATTCGTTACGGTGCAATGTTTTTTATTTATTTATTTATTTATTCATTTTAGACCACGTGCCACTGTTTAGAAAAATTTAGAAAATAAGATTATTTGCTTGAGTTGTATCCATATTGCTGCGTCTTCTCATGCGCAATCGTTAAACAAAGATTTTAAATGATACCCTTAGGAATGATACGTGGTCTGTAATGGGAAAATATTGACGACGACGAATAAGTTTTTTTGCGTCGTGTCTCAAATTGACGAACACTAAACTTAAAATTAAACCGAGTGAACGCTTGTCCGAAAAAAACTATTTCCTGTTAAAGTTAAAAACCCTTTTCTTTTTAATTTGTGCAAAAAAGGGATGATAATAAGTGATAGGGTACTTACGTAGACTGCAATCGATCTCGTAAGGTATTACGCCTCCAGGCCATCGGATATCTTCATTTCTGTCAACTGCTTTGCCTACTGTGTTGCCATGAATATCTATATTTTGTCGCTGTTTGTCAGTGAGAGCGATATCTCCTTCGAAGACATGCCCTGGAAGAGGGGGGCTTGAGAAATCTAAAATTAAAAGCAAATCAGTGCATACGTGATTTACTCCTTATACTGAGTTACAAAACGTATCGTAGAAGGGCCTTTCAACTTTGGGCGTTTAAATTCAGACCACATTTCCCCCCTTTATATATGTTGAATATGTATTCAACACATGAAAAAATACGCCGAAAAAAGACAACCGTCATACAGATATGAGATGATGTTAAGAGAGTAGCAATCTACAGAAAGATAGACCTTTCAGGCAAAGAAAATTATTTTACTCCGATAACGCGGGGAGTAGTTGCCCCTGAGGCTCATGTATGAAAGCGCTCGAAGATGCAAATACGAACAAACATAAATCGATACAATTTGAAAGAAAAGTCTACTTACTGCTTGCATGGAGCTCCAAATTGGCTTGTAAAATGATATCAAAGGCACCAGTATTGTCAGGTTCTAGTAACTGTGCTGTGTGCGTCAAGTACGCCAAGAATAGGCTCGTGATGAACCCACGCACCATCTATAATAAGGAACACCAAACATTAGTACCAATCAAGATATTGCTAATAATCTGAATCGAAAAAGGTCGAAAGGACTCAACGACAAGAATGAATTGCGGTGACACTACCATGGATAAAAAAATCGAGTAATAACAGCGTCATAAACGGTATTTGCTGAAAAATGCAGAAATTTGTTCATCACGGAAGACAAATTGTTTATATATTTATAAATATGGGGAAAGAAATTATTTTTACCCCAAAGTTCATTTAATTCGTGCAATTGTCACCAATCGCCCCTTTAAGCCTTCTTGAGGTGGCTATATGCCAAAATGGAAGTAGAAAAATTGTCCTGCAAATTCTAAAAGTAAGGAAGGAGGTTGCCCTTAACGACCTTACGAAGAACCAGAAACTAAAGCCAAAAAATCAGAGATTAAAGAAAGACGATTATCGTATGACCTTGACCTTGTTTCTATAGAGTAATAAGATACAGTAATAATACAGTACTCAGTAGAATGATAATATTTAACAATAGCCCGCCGAAGGCGAATGATTTTCGGTGGAATATATCGGTGAGAGGAATAATTGCTTAAATATAACTTTAGCCTTGAATATCTGAGAAAAGTCGAAATTCAGGATAAAAAACATTTGAGTATGACTTCCGATCTGGAAAACTTTGGAAAACCTCATAATCACCTCTCCAGCAGTGATTATCGTCTCAGAATCACCGGTCGCTCGGCAAATCACAGCTCGAGAAACTCAATATTCAAGCCTAAGATTATACTAATTATATATATCGAAGAAGTTCACGTTTATAACATTCCATATATATAATAAAAAGAGATAAGATATGATGTGTAGTTTATGTTGGACCCATGTCCGGCATTGTGCTAAAGGTTGACACCCCTGCTGTTTCTCAAAGCATAATCGTGTAACATGAGCTACATGTTAACTAAGAACTTCCTCAGAAGAGAGCATAATGAATTGTGTTTAGCAGATCCTTCGAAGTATACTTCACTCAGCAGTGTTTGTAAAGTATAACTCTCCTTCTGGACTTTAGAAGCGATATAATGGCATGTGAATGAATGCTAATCAATCACAAATTCTCAATTACATGTATATTACTATTGATTTGATTCAATATTTTACGCTCCATTATTATAACCATAAACCCCTGACCACAATCACTTAAAGATTTCCTGTAAGTCGTTTACGGTCACGTATGATATACCAACAACACGAGGCCACTACATAGGCAACTGCTTGGATTTGTTAACACAAGAAAATGGCAAGGGTACTCAACACGGCGACTTAGGATGAATTCCCGTCCTTGGTGTCATAGTGAGAAAAGGTGCTTGTTGGTTCTCTCCTGTGCTTCGAGGGTTTCTTTGTGGATTTAGTTTCACGATTTTCCTCCCTTCTTGAAAAAAAATCAGTTGTTCTAGAATTGATTTTTCAGTGGATAAAAAGCCACTATGTGGAAATGCATTGACAATCCAATTCGATTAAAATTTAAAACAGAATATTTAAGGATAACAAGAAACAAACAATACAAAACCCTGGTGGAAACTTTTAATAGATCAAAAGGGCAAGCATTGAACCAATGAGCACCGCGTAGGGAATTCGCTCACCATTATAGCTATACCACTATCTTGATGAGAAATCTAAGTGATATAAGTATAATGCGTGAAAATAAACATAGCAGTGAACTATATAGGTCTCTATATGGACTATACAAGGTAGAGTTTGTAAAGAATTCATGCTGGTCAACTAGTTTGAATGAACGTGGTCACGACTTTGGCAATGCATATTGTACTGTTAAGCGAGGCGTGCACGAAAATATGTGAAAAACCATTTCAAAGTTACGGCCCGACGTATACTATTAAACATATCCCGTGAAAGTTGATATGCTGAACGTTTTAAAATCAAACTTTCAACCCAGTTTAGAAAACTAGAAAACCGGATCGAAAACTAAATAATCATGTAAATGTGTCGTATATGAAAGATCAGCTATTGGTGTTGCATATCCTCCGGCCAGATAGAACATACATAGTCCCTTTGATTCCCGAAGGAAAAAATATACCTAAATGGACAAATAGAAAATACAAAGCCGGTATTTACCTTAGATATAAGCTATAGTTGAGATCCTTCTGTCTTTCTCTGTTATACCAGCGAGCTTTACACACCACATATATATCTGCATCGGTCCACAGCAGGAAGCCGTACCTCTGACGTCATTTCCTGTCTTAACCCTTGATGTCGTGATCTGTTCTACGTAATTATGTAATTTCGCAACAAATCGGGAGCAGTCGGAAAGCAATCGGAAATGTTATACTGGGTATCACATTATCCATCCCAGCAGCTATAAACAAGTGGGAGACGTATTAGGTGCTTATCTCAGTGCCGCTCGGTAAACCGAGCGAAGCATTTGGTAGACTGAAATGGAGTGCAATGAAACGAATTGCGAAAACGAAAAAAAAAAGTTCTACACATATAATTGAAAACAAAGTTAACTAGACCCTGACTACAGGGTGAACTCAGGCCTCGTTAACGTGATTTCTGGGAGTGACGTTAAACATTGTGAAGTGAATATGGGGATTTTCAACAGTCGATGTATTTTTAGTGAATCACCACTTTTTGAAGGAAAATTTAAGGAGATCATAACGCTTCGAACGGCAAAGATCAAACCCTGGAATGTGCGTAGCAAATTATTTATTTTGCTTCTTAAATCGAATAGAATCTTAAAATAATTATTGGCTATGTACCTCATGTTCCTTTGTGAGTAGACTTTGAAGTCAAAACAGTTAATATAGATACATAAATATAGGCTATAAGACTATATTATCAAGTTCAAGAGAATAAATGCTGAATGCATTTGTCTGATCGCTTATCGTAACTCTGACACTTGAAACCCTGTTCTCCTCATCGATCTTCGCTTGTTCGTGCAGAAAATACTGTTCGAGTAGATCAATCATGAAAAGTTTATAACCAAGCTATTGCCCATAAAGTTCATTGAAAACCGTTCATTTTTTTTGCTGCTAGGACAGCTTCCTCACGATGGAAGGGGTGACGATCTTATACTCTGAGACCTTCTCGTCACTCAAATACAACTCACCATGAATCTGAACACCCTGACGAGTAAAGAGTGGCAGATTTCGCTTGTAATAATCCATACAGATAGATATAATATATATTTTCTTCTCTAATTCTCGAGAGTTTAATCTACAATGGCGGCGCTGAAGTCGTTCCAGCTTAAAATTACGAAAGCCGAGAAGGGACTTCAGACTGAAATTATTATCTCTGAAGTTATTATCTCTGTAATCGTTATCTCTGAAATTATTATCTCTGAAATTATTATCTCTGAAATCATTATCTCTGAAGTTATACCCTGGTCCCAGAGGCTCGACGATTTTTCTCCCGGGCACGTATATTTTGAGCCGCAAAGCGGTGAGCGAGCTGCGAAGCAGCGAGACCTCGTCGGAGCCTCTGGTAGGAACCGCATAGTTGATTGATCAGGCCGCACCAATAGAATTACAGATTGCTCAAAATTGTTCTAGTTCACTGATTGGCTGATTTGAAGTCCAGTTTGTGATTGGCTAAATTATTTGTAATGAAGGGTAGTGAGGTACAAGTATACATTGCTCATTATCTTATGTCAGTTTGTTTGTAATGTCAAGAGATTTCAAGGTGTTATTTTATAGTTCTAGCTACAGTGAACATTTCTCGATGCCACATTGTATATYCGAAGCGCTATTCGACGAAATATTGTCAACAACGCTTCAAAAACGGTTTGAGAACATTGAAACGTTATCGGAAGAGCAAAAGACAAGGAGAACAAAGGTCATTGACGATACTAACTGAACAGGGTACAGAGGTTAGCTTGATAATTTCACGCAATAACCATTGAAAGCCGATTTTAAAATCAATATCCATTATAGAGTTGGTGAGTGTGTGTAGTCATTNTAATATTCCTTACAATCTCCTAGACCTTTGAAGCTTGCGGGGTAACAATGTTTCATGTCCAGCGACACGTATTCGTCTTCGTCGTACTCCATGTTCCACAAGCCGCCGTGGCCGTGTTCTACGCACGCTTTGGCTATGTCTTTGAACTCCTCCGGCGTGGGTTTCCAGCCGTTTCTCTTCTTCGCGGCTAAGAARTCCAAGCTACGGGAGCTAAGCACTTCGTCGGAGAAGTCTTCTCCTAAAGTCTCGCACGCACTTTGAATGCGCAGCTGTTCCACTTCAGGACGATACAAGGTGCCGTCTTGGGTCATAAATTGACTTCCCTCCGCGTCCATCAACCAAATAGAATTCTCGTGCATTAGTTCTGCAAGCGGCGACTCCTTGTAAACGCGCGTTTCTTTCTTCTTTGGGAACCTTAACTCCCTCCACGCATGCCCRTTGTGCTGGTAAATAACTATGGGCGCACCACGGCCGCCGTACTTGTGCGTTCCGGAGTAGATAAAACCGTCCGTGATATCTTTCACGTGTATACGCCTTTCTAACGCGGTTTCCAACTTCTTGATGTTGTCTATCGTTGCTCCGGCCCTGCGGGTGACATGCTCCCATTTCCTGATGGCTTCTCTTCTCTTCAAAGTTAACTTACCACCGCGAGAGGAATCCTCAAAGAACTCCCTCACCAACTTACCCACGCAGTTGCCAGGATGCCGCATTGGCTTGAGCTTCTTAACGTCCGGCTTTTTGATCTTATAAGCAGCGTAGATAACTACGGTAACCGGGTAAGCAACCTCGTAGAACAGCATGTCGATGCCCACCAGTGCTCCAGGACGCGTGTCCTTGTTTAAAACGAACAGGTCCTTCCTAYCCGACGCCCGTATCGGATTACGCCCYTTTTCTATTATCCACTCGCCGTCTAAATACTTTATAAACGTCAACTCCAAACGGTAGTCGCCTTCGGGCATCAAGTCGATTATCCTTTCTGCTCTTTCCTCGTCCATAGTTTCATCTGTATTTCCCTCCATAAATGTCGTGAAGGCAAAGTCGGCGTCCAAGTTGTCCAACGCGCGGGTCCTAAGCTTGCGCACAGTTTTGTTCTGAATGCTTTTGATGGTGTCCATCTATATCTAAGGAATATTTTAACCACCGTTTGCGCTACCAAAATACCTGCCTACGAGTAATTCCCGCGGGGACGCATGCCACTTAAGGCAGGTAATCCCCGGCGTTCCCGGTACCCCCTTCGCGAGTCCCCCTACCTGCTGCTTTAACTGACTGACGTGAATGATCGTTGTCGTGACAAAGCATGTATAACATACAAGAAAGGTATTTTTTTGCCAAGAAGCCCGAATAAGGACATTGAAGATGGTCGCCCTTTCGATTAGAAAATGACGGAAATGCTGCTGAAATTACGACAACACGTGAAACGTATTCTAATATACTGTTGATATTTACTCAACAAAAATGTTTGTGTCGATTAATTACAAAGTTACACTAAACTTTGGTCAGTAGTCATTTAGGTAATGACGTTAGTCATGGATCAGGGTAAAAGTGGGCTATCATAGCCATACAAATCTACACGCGACGTTATATCACTTRAAATTAAGTTATTTGATAAACAGCAAGATATCTAAAATCCACGAAGATTTTTTGATGCCATTTTATCTATGAATATAATTATGGACAAGGCTTCGACCTGTCATGAGCCTGCGACYATTAATGAGCTGGCTCTGTAGTTTTAGGACTTTGACGTCGTTTTGGGATCCTTGTGTTTCTCGGTCCACAATATTCTATGGAGGAAAGGAGAGCAACAAAACACGTGGAATGATATCTAAGGATAAAGATTCGGCGGTCTGGGTATGATACACATTTGAACTGAGCGTTGAACTGAGCGGACACCGAGCGTTCCTGATTTATGGGTTGAAAGGGGAGGACAGGGCTGTTTGGAATGTGAGTGTTGAAACAAGTTTGGGTAGGAAGCCTCTTAAAGATATAATATTTTTGTAACTCTGACCCCCCTGAATTTAAAGCTGCTCGTTTATCAATTGTGAAACATGAGTTAAGCAGAGCAAAAAATTCTTCATATTTAAAGAAAAAGAAAATTAAACCTTCATGTAAACAGATACGCGGTGACAAGTGAAGCGAAATATAGGAAAATGAAGGATGATAACGTTATTTTGTCTTATGGATTGCTAGGGGGAAACTGATGCTTAATCTGTCTAGTATCTAAGATCGTTTACCGGGACACTTGCCTGTTCAATTTATTGATTTGGCCATGGACCAGCGGTCAAACTCGCACAAGCATTCAGTCGAGGCTGCAAGGTATAAGACAAAAAGATTTTTTAAAACTACACTACAGCCTCGAATGATTACTTTGTGAACCGATAAATGGACTGATGAGTGAACCAATATGGAAAGTGAGCAATTCATATTCGATATTGAGTTCAGTGTCTTCATTTACTTTCTTTTTAATAACTTTGATAGGTGTACAGTCTTGTGCCGGCAGCCAAGTATGACGGTGTAATCCATTTCCGTTCCGTGATTAATTGAATTCTTGAAGATGTAAAATGAAGTAAAGCTAAGAGGTGTTTTCTTCATTTTTAACAACAGTCTTTATCTTCTATTTACCCAATTCATTTATATATGAATGTTAGTATACCATTTCAGCATAAATCAAAACTTTAACTAAGCGTATAGATGGTAAGACTATAATCTCCTCCTCTAGTGCTCGTACCCCTTAGTCACACCCTTTAGTATTTTAACCCGCGTGAATAGTATTCAAGTAAAAGTGAATCGACCTGTCCCRGCTTTAGAGTTGTTTTAATCCTGGGCCGAAGTAAAGTCAAAATAGCTCTACGCGATTAATTTTTTTTCAATCTCCCTGACTTTTATATACTAACAGTTAGTTCGTGTATGTGCATATGGCACGAACTTTCCCCAAAATAACGCCTCCTGAATCAAACTCCGAGACCCTGTTATTCAGTGGCACTTGCAATGCCTGTCGCTTTTTGTAGTAAACTTTGTCTCACTTTTAAGTATAAATAGTCGGGACGGGTACGGGATTGCTATTTCGATCCACTACTGAGAAATGACAATGRAAGCATTTTAAACTTTTTCAATGTTTTATTGTTCTATAATTCTACTTSTAACACATGTTTTTGGTCTGATATTCCTGTTTCAAGAGACGTTCACGTATATTTATGCGCTTCCTTTATTCTTGATGCATTTTCCAAAATCAACGAAACACTGTGCYTTGGCTTTCCATCCATCTGAGCTGCTTAAACACGTCTTCAGATCATCTCGGCACTTGACCTGTAAATAAATAAATAAGTCATAGATAAGTAAATGTTTTCGTTCCWTTTTAGGTTGCGATGCACTAGCTTATGAGCGTTGTCCAGCTCATTCTCGAACCTTCAAATTTATAGATACCCTGCAAAACAACCTGTCGACTGATTTTGGACAAAGCACAGCTAACTCACATATCGACCCATGAAACAACCTCTGGGCTGATCAAAGTCCAGRGAGTAAACTTACCAAGAAGGGGGGTACTGTGGGGATGAGTTGGGCCATGCAGCTCTTGTAGTCYTTCAAACATTGAAGTTTTCCTTTCTGTCCTTCCTTMATGCATTTATAAAGATCGATCTTGCATTGCTGGAAGAAAAAGAGAACGGTTAGAACCAACAAAGTCAAAAGTATTTTTGGGCARTTGTTAGTTGAGGGAATAAGATTTTTCTGTTGCGTGACCAACTGAGCTACTGAAACTGAGGTGTAGATGGCATTTAAGCCTGATCACTTAGAAACAACGCTGTTCCATAACCTAAGTGGRAATTGATTGTGAATGATCTTGAATTCAAGAAATGACATGCATATGAGTATTAATGTGAGTATTAATGTATTTTCTTGTGCTTAGATATAGTTATCAAAGATGTGTATTATGTTCCATSGAGCATATTTTGCAGCTGGTTTGAGCGTCTCTAGCAAACAGAAGGGCACGGGTTCGATTCCCGCCTGAAGASCGGAAACTGATCGTGAGGGGAAAAGATGCTTGATGAAATTTTAATGAGATTTTATGTTCAAGTCGGTCATGAATTGAATCCACGGTTTTCCATGTTGAGATCACGTGTTATTTGTCACTTGAATAGTGATGTTGTTCATCAGTAACGCATGAAAAAAAGCATCAATATAAAAATGATCGAAGAAAAGAAATAATACTAATGAGAATGAAGCATGGTCTTAATGATGTTCTTGGATATACAATAAATATATTCTTACGAAATATGGATGGCGGGTGGGGGCTGAACCATCTTCCATGGCGTTCAGAACGAACTCGCCTGCATCGAATGCTGTGGGACTGGGTCCCTTGTTGATCAAACATTTTCCAAAATCCCTGAAGCAAACAGCCTTATCAAGAATGCTGCTGGCTCCTGATACACAGCTCTTGAGTTCATCTTTGCAAGCGATCTTTTGGAGGAATAGAAATATTCAGTTTTGTATAAATGTACATGTTCTCAATTTTCATGGAATGAAAAGGTCTGGAAGATAGTTATAAATGGAAATAAGTCATGATGTACTACTCAACAGACCATTGACCATTACTGGAGAAAGACTCACATGCAGATATAGAAAAAC